CAACACAACACATATGTATATGTTGTTAATATCCCCAGTGTGATCACAAAATGGTTGTCCCCAGGATCACAGTATGGTTGTCCCTGGGGACATCCCCAGCTATTCTGACAGACCGGGGAAGACCAGCATATTATGACCTCTTGGGTACATAGGTATATAAAAATATATGAAGCTAACAGGTATGTCCGAGAGGGATGACTGAAGTGGATATTATTATGGGCAAGTCACATAGGAAAAAAATATTAGATGATCACATGAGTGATTCCAATTGAAAGAAGCTTATACAGATGAGTAGGTCCCGGGCTTTAATAACTCACCCATATTCATGACTAAGTAGTGTATGCCTAGTCCCGGCCCTTGTCAAAAGTTCAAAAAGGTTCAACAAGGCTTGCCATCAAGCAAGCTTGCATTTGAAAACATCAATTCTATGGCAGACTCTGAGGATACAGAGGCCTGGACCGCCCAGGAAAAAAAGGCACAGTGGAACTGGCTGCATAAAGAAGACACCATAGATATATATGAAGTCTCTTTGGCAAAATTACCCAGCAAAGCAGAAATCCAGCTGCATTTACCGCAACAGGAAACAAGAAATAGAGTGGTTTGAGGAACCGCTGCTTGGTTATTGGTGGGTCTGAAGTTGGAAGAGACTCAGTAAGCCTCTGAGCCCCCGGGATCCTGTGAATATATGCTTTTTTGAATACTGATTAACTCTACATAACAGGATACAGCCACAAATATATGCAAAACAAATTAATAAAAAAGGCACAACCACAGAAAAACTAGAGCTAGAGGAAAGTCGTCAACGCCTGCTCTCCTGCGTAGATGCTTTCAACCTCAAGGTTAAAAGGTATCTAGGCAATATTGATGTTGCTGAGTTCTTGAGGAGGTCCTGTGGTGGCTAAACTCTGACAAAGACAACAATCCAGAATACATAAATCTGTTTGACCTCCTGGGTTCCTTTGATGGCAATGATGAGCTTATTGAGAGGAGAAAATTGGTGTTACTCTAACTTAGGAAAAGGCACTTGCAAAATCGAAGGCCTACACCATCTAGTAAGTCAGGAGCTTACACTCCGGGAAGGTCAGGCCAATGATGCCTTGCATCAGATACATATCCTACTGGGTCAAAAGTCTTTTCTGTTCAGGACAAAGGTGAGAGCAGCCTGGGGCTCTCAAAAGAAAAAGTTGAAGGCTTGGGCAAAGGTTACCCACATGGAAGCCAACATCAAAGTCCACTCAGCCATATATAAGAAAGCCCAGCATGCAATCATATCTATGGGGTGCCAGGCAGAAATATTACAAAATATGAAGAGCTCAAACCAGACCACCTCAGGACAAGTACCCAGCTCATGAATCTCAATGTAACCGGACTCTGCAACACTGCATTGCCATGGTTTTGGAGTATGGATCTGAAAGGTGACACCTCCCAACAGATCTGGATATCTGAATGTATATGCCCCAGCCAGGTCACAGTTTCACGGTATCAAACAGCTAACATTTAGTAATAAAATACAGTTTACTGGGTTCACTGGCTAAAAGCAAAAACCATGTACAATAGGTGGATAGAAGAAAATATTCTGGTGCGCCTCAAGATAAAGCGGACAGTTTAGTATTTTCAACATCAAGGGTGTGGAACCTGTTCTCAGAACAGGCAAAAGACTTATTCCAGAGACTAGGCATAGTGGTTTGAGGGAACTAGAATAGTGGACCACAATTTAATAGAAATCCGGGGTCCATTATACTATGTAATAGTAATCTAGTATTCCTTGGCTTTGGAGTATTCCAGAATTCCCGGGCTTTGTAGTAATCCAATGTTCCTGGACTTCATAGCAATCCATTACTCCCCGGGCTTTGTAGTAATACAAGATTCCCGGGCTTCTACTCACTCCCGGTATCCAACTGCAGGGTGCCCAGGTTTCAATCTTTTCATTGAGCAAGCTATTACAAATAGCTACAAACTTGCAGTAGTGATGTACCCAGATCAAAACAGTTCTACTGTTATTCCACATTTATAACTCCATAACATAATCATGTGAAGGTACTGACTATTGCGGGATCTCCACCCCACACATTGTATATATATACTCCCTCATGTAATATGCAAAACATATTCTCTCACCACTGTAGGACAAAACCCCATAATTCAGTCCGCCTTGAACCACGCCAATATCCATAGGGGCTCCCTGCCCTGGTTGCAGCCCAAACGGCTTGAACCCGTGAGAATAATTATATTGGTTTGATAACCCAGGGCTCCTCTGGGAATAGTTGTTTTTAGTGGTGGACCCGCCACCAAATTGCATTTTGTAGAGCTCAATGGCCCTACCTATTTTTTGAACCTCCTCTGCTGCTTGTGAGAGTTTCTCGCTCCTCATATCCTGCATATAACGCTGTTCTGCAATGTGGGGGCTCACATTGCATTCCAGCAGCTCTACTGTGTGTTCATTACCTAGACCCCCTTGGATAGAGAGGGCCAGGAACAGGGTTATGAAATTATCCGTCCTTATGTTTCCTTGTTTGAAGGAACAGATTTGCTGGCATGCCCAGTCACGCTCAGCTTGTGGTTTGAAATATGTTTCAATTTCAATTTTTAGTTCATCCCAGCTAGGCCAGTGACCAGCAGTGTAGCACTCCTGGAGGCTTACTTGGGCGTATCGACCTGCCACAGGTCCTTTGAGTCTTGATAGCACAGCCATTGCTATCTCAAAATCATCGGCAAATGCGTCCCAGTTTGCCTTGATCCAAATTTGGAGCTTAATCCACCATTTGGTGAATCAAGCCCGGTCTCCTTCAAAAGTGCCAGGGTCAGCGACACTTTCAACTTTTTTGTTGAATTTTCACTTAACCGCTTTGGGGGGGTTTGTCTGAATCTTGGAGAGCTGTGTGGTTAATGCCAAAATATGTGCACGCATGTTGTGCAACAGAGTGTTGACATTGGGTTGGCTGGATTGCGACAACATGTCAACTTGTTCTCTCTGGTAATGTAAAAAAAAAGGTAACTGGGGGTCCCCGCTTGCTATCTGCGGATCAACCTCTTCCCAGCTGAGTATTGGATCTCAATCTCTGACTACCCACACTATAGTATTTGAAATTGTATATAAAAGGTATTCATAATAAACCCTGGTCTGAATGGTTGTCAGGGGGTGGTTTGCTTGTTAAGCTATCAACCCTTCTCCAACTGGTGGAGGCAAAGGCCCAGCCTGGTCAGAGGTATCCGAAGAAGAAATTTTTGTATCTAAAACTAATCAACAATAGTTCCACACTATTGCTGAGCTATTGTACTCCCCTTGACACTGGGTGCCATGTATATTTGTTTGGTTCTTTCTAGTACCTCGGAATGAGGAGCTTGCAACAAACTTGTGGTACACGCTCAAGTTTCTGCCAGCTAGCAAATGCTCAATACCGGTCTGGCTCCCAAGTCTTACTGTTTGAAAGGCATCCACTTAGCCCTGTGGTCTGGGTTTGCACAAAGTGTAAGAGAGTAGTAAGAGCGAGTCCTAATGTTACAACCAAGAGTTTGTATACTCTGGCGCACAACTCAGACAAAACTATAATGAAGTGAGGGGAGTGGTTACCCTTTGGATAGGACTGAGTTTGTTGTGGGTAAACAACAGGAGGACTTGCTGAGGAGTCTCCTTGATCTATTGGGGTATATATATACTATTACAGACTATTTGTACATGTGTGCTATACAGTTGATGAAGGCAGTGGCTGATGATGTCATAGCGCGTAGCCTGTGTGACCAGCTCCACTGTGTGAAAGACTTGTATCTAAAATAAAGGAAAGCAGCACAGTGTGAGAAAGTGGAGTTAGGCAGAAAGGAAAGTGCTATATGGCACAGTGTGTGAAAATACAGAAAGAAAGTTAAAGTGGAGAGTAAAAGTTAAAGGTGTAAAAATTGTGTATTGTAACAAATATGGCCTTGCTGGTACACTCTGCTGGACTCTGCTAGCCCTGTCTGTACAGTAATATCATCAGGTAATAATGCCCTGTTTAAGGCAGAAGGTACTATGTGATGTACATGTAAATTCAACCTCTGAAGACACCCTTGGCAGTGAGTTTGGCTATATTCCAAGTATAGTATTCCAATTGCTACAGGGGGGTACAGAGGCTGCATGGTGGATCTATGAGACCTATTCTCACATCATAAAAACTGTTCAATTGAGAACTTCTGGGAAGTGTCTAGCCACTTGCTGAGAGCTAACAGGGACAGAACTAGAGTCCAGTATGAGTAACTGTATTATCAGAGAGTACAGAATGTGTACAGTACCTAGAGTCCAGTATGAGTAACTAAAGAATAGGAATACTGGACTCTGCAATACTAGTCCGAAGTTTTGTAAACAAAGGTAAACAAATCAGCCACAAAAAGGCAAAATTATAGAATGCTCAGTGAATACTGAACAATAGAGCAAAAAGAATAAAGAGGAAAGTGATTTAGAAAGAAGGGAAAATAGATAGCACAACTAGGTGCAGAATCACCAAAACTAACAAAAACCCCATCTGTAAGACCTAAGAGCCTCTGCAAAGTGCTGCCTGAGGTGGGTAGTATTTGAAAAACCAGATAAACCTTGTCTCAGCTAAAGCTGGTAAGCAGCCATTGTTCTCCTAGGAGCACAACTGTACTGCTAGTAGTAGGGGGCTTAGTATAGGAATACTTCATGGCATCTATTTATTTCTCTGGGTCATTGGCAGCAACTGATAATTAAATCATCCTGTAAAATCCATTTATAATCCTAGCTCATATAATCTGATGCTCAGGGTGACCATGGCCTTCACATGTTTGAAACAACTACTCTTCTCTTCAGAGTGTATGACACTTGGGTTGTCCTTCAGCATACTATATATTCTATTTGTAACTTGATAAAAGGCCAGGACTGTAATGGAAGAACAGACAGTTCCAGAGGGGTTAATAAAAAAGTTGATAGTGCCGAGAATTAACCTAAGCACTGGTATGCGACATAGTGACATTATATCATGCCAACAAACAAATTTCATCCTGGCGAGTTATTTCTGCAAGCACCCAACACTTAAGAGTAAACGGTTTAGGCTAACGTTTGTCACAGGACAAACAAAACTGTAGATGATGACGTGCGGCACCCAGTTGAAGTAAGTAAACGCAAAGGCACGACATCTTACGGGTGAAAGCCACTCACAACACAGTCATGAAAATATAGTTAGGCTGTTGCAGCAAGAGCCACATTTGAGGCGTGCAGAAAAGCAAAGGTCTAGGGATCTGGCAGTTAGCGCTCACTAGCAGGTTCTAATTTGATAAATACGAACAGCAAAGAAGATGATACCATCGGAGCGAAGAGCCTTGTAAAGCAGCAAATCGGCTCTCCTAGGGCGACTGAGGGTGTTCATGACGATACATACGAGAGCCATCAGGTCGAATACCATCTGTGTATGGACGTTATGTAATCACGGAGCAGGTATTGATGCACCGGGCACTTACTGGTGCTACCCAAACACCAATAAGCGACTTGGATACTGTGTGCATTACACATATATGAGAAGAACGGTCATAGACCATTCCAGCTGAAGTTATATTGAGAAAAAAGTTCCAATCTACAAGAGCTAGCCGTACTCACACCACATTTCATCAATTGCGACACCTAACGCAATTGACATTGTGCAAAAGCTCAGGATAAGACAACATGAGAGTACCCAAACCACAAGCTAAAGAGTTGTAAGTAATCAAGTATGATCAAATGAGCTATAATGGACGTACTCTGCAGTTCTCCCATATTTGAACTACCGACATGAACATCAACAAAAAGACCATGCCTGTGAGGAGTATACCCAATATAGCAGGGATAGATATTAACAGCCGGCATCTAAAATTTGATGAATACACAACAGCGTGAAACATAAGTTTATATGAACTTGCCCCTGCATATCGATGTCAAATACCATATGTGAGTCAGATAAGGTACGAGACATACCGTGTGTGTTAAGGAAGAAGTGAAACCACACATATCTGATATTACAAAGTGAGTCATAGAAATTATATAGAAATCCAACTTACTATAAGCTGCCGTGATGAGTACGGCGGGGATAAGATATCGGTTGACAAGGAAAAGAGACCTTGAGAGCGAACGAGGACTCTTCCAGAATACGTCCACCTCTTCTGATAGTGATAACAAGTGGTCATGGATAACTATGACCAGACCCGCAGCTAATTGTTGGTCTAGATATTAGCAAAATGGCTGGACAGAGATATGTATCACCCACCAGCAAGATATCTCGTGATATGGCTACTTTCAGGCTTTTCATCAATTTTGTAGGTTATTCTTGCTGTGTCTGTTGTCTAGCCTTGATGACATGTGGTTGCTTTGGTTGGGATCATCATAAATCATTGAACTATGGACTGGCAAGTTGGGTGCCTACATTGTACATTGTATCTACTTTTTGACCTGTCTAATACTACCTACTGTACTACTTTGACTGTAGGTTCAGTTACTGGTCACAAAAAAAACTGAATTGTATAATTGGTGGTTTTGTCACAGGTCACAACCCACAATGAACTACTGGCAAATCTGTCCATGGAGACATCTGTGCCATCATAGCATAGTTCCATATCCCTGGTTGCTTTCAGATATCGGAGAACATGTTTGGCAGCTTCCCAGTGATGGCTCCTTGGAGCTGAGCTGTGTCTGCTTAGCATTCCAACAACATGCATCTTGTGTTGTACAATATCTTCCCCTAGAGCATTTGCAAGGAGTTTTGATCCATGGGCCATTGGTGTCCATACTGGTTTGCGGTTCTTCATTCCAGTACACTCCAAGATGTGTCAATGTATTGGCAGTGTAATAGGGGGATTGTTTTGTTTGAACAATCTTGTTGGATTTCTATTCCAAGGATGTATTTGCTTCTCCAAGGTCCCACATTTTAAATATGGATTCAAGTTTGGCTTTTGTGTTATCTATGAATTTCCAGGATAAGCTCCTATGAGGAGGTTGTCTATATAGACAACAACAAAGCATATTTGTTTGTTGTTCTGGAATACATATATAGAGACATGTTTCTGCATTTAATCTTGTGAAACTGAGGTCCTGAAGCTTGCAATCAAAGATTTTGTTCTATGTACAACCAGCTTATTTTACACCATAGATGGATTTCTTCAACCTCCAGCAGTATCTAGGTTGGATAGGAGCACCCTCTGGAGGAAGCATGTCACGATTTGAACAGAATCTTATCTAAATCTGAAACAATCTTATCATTATCGTCATGTGACCTTACTATCATGTAAAATTTACTATCACATGACCCATTATGTAAGCAAGTAGTTAATTATATCTTGTCACGTGACAATCACCTGACAAAGCCTGGACTATGACGTAGAGCATCAGTCAGCGCCTCATGGCTGACCTTCAGAAACGTATATATACCAACACTTATGTACATACATTTCCTCAGTTGTTGATTACTTCTTAACATCAATATTTGACGCTACCTGTTTGATTTTGAGACTTACACCTCCGTTAGTTTGGCATAAGGTGTAGGGATCTTACAAAGCATGTACAGTTCTTCTTCAAGTTCTCTATTGAGATAATGTTGCGATAACACAATTTTTGGACTTTCCCTTTACTTTTATTCTCCGCTTTAACCTTGTACTACAGCTTTCACACATGGTGCCACGCGGCCCTTTCCCTTTCTCGCGCCGCATTGCCTTTCTTCTTATTTTGGACATGACTCTCTCACACAGTGGAGCTAGTCATACGGGCTAGGCCCCATGACATCATCAGCCACTGTATCTATCAACTGTATAGTACACATGTACAAACAACCCTGTAGTAGTATATAAACCCCAATAGATCCAGGAGACTCCTCAGCAAGTCCTCCTGTTGTATACCAACTAACTCTCTGCGTCTTAAGGGGTAACCACTCCCTCTTCATTTTCTTTATAGTGTGTTCCTGTGTGTGCCAGAGTAACTAACTCTTGGTTGTTACAGATAAGCTGTGAATATATTTATTCGGTCAAGTTCTAGGTCATACTTTGCTGCCAAGGCTAGAATAAATCAGATTAACTCTAAGTTTGCAACCGGAGCAAAAACCCCCTGATAATCAATCCCCTCCCTTTGAGTAAAACCTTACAATCTGGAGTTTGTACCTTTCGATGTTTCTGTTTTGATCAAACTTGATCTGGAACACAGGTTTTGATATAATAGGTGTAACGACCAAGAGTTTCTTACTCTGGCGCACAACTCAGACAAGCATAAGAGAAGAGAGAGAGAAGGGATCGCCCCTTAGGTTTCAACAAGTTTGTTGTGCTAGACAACAGGAGGACTTGCTGAGGAGTCTCCTTGATCTATTGGGGTATATATACTACTACAGGTTTGTTTGTACATATGTATTATACAGTTGTAAGTAAAGTTTAAAGTCCGATGTTTAGCATGTGACTATGAAAAGTCGAAAATGTAAAGTAAAGTAAATAGTCACATGATTAGTCATGTGAGCTGTCCTCCCACTGACTGACTCCACTTTGAGTCTCTATTCTGAAGATAGCCAGTATTTGGGTCTTGGTTGTAGAGACTGTTGTGGAGGGTGTCTTAGCTGCTCAGGTGCTCCCACTGCTCTTAGAACGTCTCCATGGAGGTATTGGCCCAGTACTCTTGAAATGTTTCCATGCTGATACGGTTCTATTTGCAATTAATTGGGATCTCAGATCTGAGGGTTAAGATCAGGCTCCTTCCCATCCACTGTTGCAAGAGAGGAGGACTTAATCCTAGAGCCAAAAAAATATGACTTGCAATAAGATATGATTAGATAATGATAAAATAAAAAGTTCAAAGTCAGCATAACCTTGGTCCTTGCGCTCTCTCCATAGTAGCTGGAGTTTAACATCAGTAAACAATGGTTGCCACAGTGACTTGTAACACCTGAGATCAAAAATTGAACACCACAAAATTACAATTTTTTCAAACATAAAATAACTATTCCATGCAACTTGTTTCCATTCTTAGTTAAGAAAGATAGAGGTAGAATAGGCTGATGTGAGGACACGAGGCTGAACATCAGTGATCATTCCATCACCATACTCAACAACCATCTTTAATCCGTCATTGAGTTTTTTACTCAAACTAACACCTAGCCTTCCCAGTTCCTCCTCTTGATCCTGTAAGACCCTCACTAAAACCACCACCTAATCATTCAAGATCTCTGAACACTGTTCCCAGCTATCCTTGCTGCGTTCTTCAACCACCCCTCCATCACAATCTAAACAAAAGAAGTTGTTCTGAAATGGGCCAAACATATTCTTGAGAAGCAGTGCATCCAGGAGATACAGGTTCTGGTCCACGAGAATACCAGTTGGCACTTTAATGCCAGAAAGGCTATAACCAACCAACTTGAAGAGTTTTGCATGAATAAAATAGCAACAGAGTATAAAAGTGATGCACTGGTACTGTGGGACATACTAGATATTCTACTTGATGGGGACCCAGACAGATCAATTGATGGCCCAGACACCACTATGAGTGAACACAACATGACAAACTTAAAGCAGAGGATGCTTATTGGGCACAGGTAGACAAGATAGATCTAGAGGAAATGGCCAAGATTTTGTTCCAAGTCAAAGAGTCTCGGGGTTCCAAAGCAAGAGAGCATTAAAAAGCAGCTATTGTAGTAGTAAGTAAAGTATTTTCCTCCCTCTCCAATATTGCATTTATACGGTATGGGGCTAGAAAAAAGTTATTTCAGTCAGTATAATTATGCAAAGCACCAGCCATAAATAAACGCCTTGCAATGTATCATAGGCATTTTCCTTCAGTCTGTGCATACTCCAGAAAAAGTCATCAATACTCTCACAAGCATGGGCATCTCCATTTCAATGACCACAATACATGCCACCATTTGGTTGCTACCTATCCAGAGTGCAAATGCCCTTCATAAGCTAGGGCAAACATTTTTTGGCAGCATATGCCTATGATAATTTTGATATAGAGCTTAAATTGTGCATTCCTACTGTGGAGAACTCAGCCAATTCATTGAAACATCTGACCTCAGGCTTGCTGTTTCCACTCCAGCACAACATCACTCCACAGAATCTAAAATTCTTCCAAGATCTATGGATTAAATTATTATTAAACCCCACTATCACAGCAGTGGATCCAAGGCAGAAATTAACTTACAAAGATCTGTTAGCCATTATCTCTCACAATGGTGAAGAGACATCCACCAAAGCTACAACGCCTAGAAGTTCTTATGCAATCTGTGCCACTATGGCCTGTCCTATTTATCATTTCAAGTATCAGCTCAAAGGACCACCAGTTATCAAACAGATACCAGTGGTCAAAACTCCTATACTTGCTGCTCAAGCCATGAACATCAATAACCCCACTATTTCAGGAAATATATGTGCTGTAGTAGACACTGGCAGAGGGTGGGTTTGATGTGGGCAATGAAAGTGAACCTGAAGAGAATGAGGACTATATAGTATTGTTTCATGAAGATCTTGGCACGGGAGAATGTCTCCAGGCTGTCCAACAACATTGAGCGATTGAGGAAACACCTTGGGACTGGTTTCAACATGTGATTTTTGTGCCTGGTTGTTTCACCTAAAAATGGTGGCATCAGATGGACTTTGGCGAGTTTTTATACAGCCTGTGGCTGCCAGGGAAGATAAGACAAGCTTGATGTGTAATGTGGCAAGGCTCCGCCCAAAAGAAACTGGGATTTTTTGCTCAAAACCTGGTTTCCAATGGACACATGAGGTTCATCAGGAAAAACACTTTTGGTATGTAGCGCTATATAGCCACCACGTGTATATATGAATGCTTTCATAGCAATCATATCCCTATAAATGCAATTATAGCCCTATACAAATATTGTTATAGTAATTATAGCCCTATCAATGCAACTATAGCCTTTATAGCACAAGATTTAGCTAAAAACAAAATAATAACATTCATAATTTGAATTTACCATAGTGTCTGATAAGCATATTTACTACTAAAATTGTTGAGATAAAATTTTGTACAAACATCCAAAACATTACTGTGAGTCCAATTGAGTGGATAAGTATCTCTATTTCCCCCAAAGACTGGAATCAAATGACAAACCTGTCTAATTGCAGAAAGGGGTATAATATCACCAAGCAGGTAGCCAGAAGCATTAGGCCCAGGTTTGGTGACAGAGTACATCATATGGTTGTCAGCTGTTGGCCTTAGACAATTAAATCATACAACATAAGCCAAATGATCTTTAGGCCAGTTAGAAGGGGCACTATGTGTGCCATATAAAGTTGTAGGTAACTTGAAGATCACTCTGAGACGTCCAATTCTTGTGCCTGGTACAACTTTTAAACAGATAGTAGATAGAGCTTTATATTGTGGAGCTTACCTGCCGGACCTGTTGATTCACAGTCATTGGAGTTCATCACTATAATAGTATCAAACCTAGGATGCTGTCCACCAACACTTGAGGGTTTTGCCTTTACAGCATCTATTTGGTTATCAAGCAAGTCCACATCATTTCCAAGAGTCTCAAGGGAGAATTTGAATGAGTGGAAAACATCAAGGTTTTAAAATGGAAGAGGATAAGATCTTGTTTGTGCTCTGAAACGGCCTTGAGGGATGGGAATATTAGGTAAGCATCACACACTTTTGACAGAGGTTGCCCACCCCCAAGGTAAAGCTTTCTAACTATACACGGCTAGTCCAGCAAAACGTTACCCAAAGGACCAAAGTCCGCTGTGACTGTGAAATATAGCCCGAGACCTTTGTCGGAGGTTTTTTGTCTTCCTGCTGAGCAATGTACTCTGATGGGCAACATAAGCAGATTTAGCCAAGTGTATGATTGATGACACAATGAGCCCCGACAACATGAATTTTTGATGTGTAGCGAACGAATAGCCTCAAGGGTAATATGGCATGAATCAACTTAGTGATAAATTAATCATTTGACCATTCTCTGAGTAACGTTAGTACAAGCCCCATAGTAATATACATACAAGGGATATCTGTTTGACCAAGACATGAGAAATGAAAAAGGTTTTTGTCCCTTGGTCCGAGAGACAACTAAGAAAGGTTCCAAGGAGGATAGCATTTAGGTAGCGGAGAGGTCTATCAGACAACACGGCAATATAATATTGGCATTCAAAAGACATGAGCTTATTTTCATTCACACAATATCAATTTAAACAGCAAATAATATGTATTATATTTGAAAGCATGAACAAAACTTTGCAATCATCACAAGGAAATGAGAACTATGGTATTGGAGACAAAGAGTAAGGCCAACCCTTAAAACAATTACTCACCAAATCAACTACGCATGAATAGCTCTCTGCCATTCAATGCTCACAGTGTTGACGGGGGAATGAGCTTTCCAGGCTCAGAATATGTAGCCATATCCACTTGGAGGATCTCTGTGAACAAACTAGGTACAACATCAGGTCATGGAGGTCCGAGGTTTCAAAAAAAAAACTCCTTACTCTTTCACTGTATCCTCCCACTCCTCTGTAGATAAAGCACCATTCCGAGTCTGTTTGCGAGCCTCATCCAGCAGTTGATCAACATATACCCAGAATTGTTCATCCTTCCAGACCTATGGTTTGTCATCGGGTCCTTCTTCATCCTTGGGCATCCCTCCAGAGTCCCCACTAGTGTTTGTCTCAGTATTAGCACCCTCCGGTACATTGTCTCCATATTCAAGAGCACTGTTTTCATTGGCTGGTCTTTCTTCAGATCCCTGCAAGGCAATTAATCTTCGGAACTCTATAAGAGCTGAACGCTAAGTGGAAAATTAAATTGTCAGATAGCGAAAACAATTTGAGACAGTCACTTACTAAGAAAGCTATTCTCGCCCAATGAGTCAATGTCATATCCATCAATCCAGCGGGCACCAGGGATTTTGCAAGTGTTGCTATATTTTGTTTCTTTTGTATCCCGGTCCATAACTGGAATAATTCCCATTAATCAAACAATTCATAAAAATGGACACAAATTACCTTTGGCTTTATGTTGCCCCTTGCAGCCATGAGTAGGTCCTTGATGAGACTTGCTAGCTTACTTTGTAGTGCTGGGTCTCACAATATATTGGGCCTCACTTTGAATAGACTTGGATTTTTCTCGAGCATATCCTACAACATCAAGCGGTTATGTGTAGCGCACTTTATGGACCGGGGTTACTTACAAAGACATGGTCAGCCAGGTCTGTAATGTAGGCAGTCAGGTCCGGGGAGAGTAAACGCACACGCAAACGATCATTGAGGAGTTTCTGCACATAAAAAATAATAAGTAAATAGAAAAAAAAATAACAAAGTATGAAGTACTCACCCAAAAGTCCACAGACTCGAGATGGACCAATACCTTATTGCGTTCTGAAGTGCAAAAAGCAGTTTTGAGTGAGATAAGGTGGCACTTGATATCCATTAACATCTTGACATCTGTGGCAAGCTGACAAACAACAGTGAAGTTGTGACGTTGTTGAGAAAGAATCACATACTTACCTCAGCAAATTTATCCAAAGTTCTCGGCGGCAGCTTGTGAGTTCTGCACAGATCCACTCCAAGAGACTTCAGCCGCTTCACATTCTCTCTCACAAGCATGTCCTCTGCAGAATCAGAGCAGGGCCAAGAAGTTTGTGCTTGTGAACGTGAAGGTGTGCTAGGAGTTGACGGTAGGAATAACAAGTTGTCCCCAGAGTTCCTGGTAGGAGTAAGACTAGACGAGGATGTCACCCGGGATGACATTAAGCCTGACATCTCATTTTGAAGTTGTTGTTGACATCGAAAACTATGAAAATAAGGATGGCCTCACAACAGACATAACACCGCCTGGTGAGGAAGATTCCAATCTGAAATTTTCATAGTGTCATGTCCCAGGAATCTTAAGCAATGACTTTAAGCTCCAGGCCTCCGTGAAACACCTCCAACCAACATCTCATATGAGAACTGAACTTATAATTGATTAGCCAGATCTGCTGAGAGAAGCACCTGAGGCTTTAAAAGACGTTGAAGGAGGTCAAGAGAGAGCATTTGAGGACATACTCAATGGGGCCTCCCCATGAGAACTATTCATGTGGTGATACTAGTGCATAGGACTGGAAAAGGGTTCATTTGATGGGATAGTTGGTGTGTCCCCCCAAGAACCACCCATGTGGCGATACTGGTGCATGGGACTGGCAAAGGGTCCCGACAACATTAAGAAAGGAGACATGGGACTCCAGTGCAAAGAAGTGCTGTATGGATTGAGCTGTGAGGGGAGTGGAGACATGGGAGACACTGTGGATAAAGGCAGGAGATTCGCAGGGAGTCTGGAAGGCGGTTCTCTTTGTGGACTTGGCTCGGAGCACAAGCTAGGGCCTTGTCAAGAGCCACTTGGTTTGACGGCTGCCCCTTTTGTGGAATGAGCTGACATATTCTTCTTTTTTGCTGTCCTCGCTGGTGTTTGTGCAAAGGCTGAAGCTACTTCCTCAATGTGAGCCTCACCATCGTTTTCTTGATCTCTTTGCTGATTGGCTTGTGCAGCCTTATTCTCTTGTACGTGTTTTGCAGCTTTGAGGCGAACTTCAAGGACATTGGGAATGCAAGGGGTTTTGATTAAAAGTTGAGGGGGAAGGACAGATTTGATGTGACAATAGTTGTGAAGGGAGTACATGTTGACGAGGTACTGGTTAACTAGCTCACAACCTTGGTAATTCTTGTTGTCTCACTATTTTCCTGTCGTGTGGGGATCATTTCAATTTGATGACACTTCGCAAAGGTGCAATCATGTTCATCAGGAAAAACACTTTGGCTATATAGACTCTAATAGTACTATAGTTGCAAATATAGTTGTCATAGTGATCATAGCTGCAAAAGAAACCCCAACATCTATTCAGGAATAATGTGCTCTTATAGCCTCTTATAGCACTTATAGCACATGGCTGACTATATGAGCTATGAGAGAGCTTGTGGCTGATTTAAAAGAATAAATCACACACACAAGGTTTGAACTCTCAACTTGTTGGTCTGCTTTTTTCTGACCAATCAATCTACAGCCACATACCACACAGTTATCTACTACACCATAAAGGCTTACAAAATATACTATACATGCGTAATATATTGACCTTTTATGGACTTGTTATTTTTTTTACACATTGTCACAACTTATACTTGGATAAAGTATTACTATAAATATGTACTATGGTGTTGACAGCTATATAGGCTATTAGAGCTATAAGAGCCATTATAATGCCTTGGCTAGCTATATAACATTATACATGTGTGCTCAAACTTATAGTACTATAAGAGCTATAATAGCATTTATAGTAATGCCTCTGCTATATAGCACTATCAGAGCTATAATAGCACAAATAGTATTGCCTCTGCTATATAGCCAAAGTGTTTTTCCTGATGTTGGCTATTGACGGTGCAAAGAATATCCTAAATAAAAGTCAGCAATGCTGACAACACACAAAGATCTCAATAGTACCTTTGCAGCACGAAGTCCCTGAGAATCCGTGAGTTTCAAACAAGGTACATGAAGTGTATGATGGAGTTCTGGTAGAATCCTTACAAAGGGCAGAGCAATGTATGCAAACTTGCAATTTTTTTTTTCACGGACCAGGATTTCTTCAACTTTGGCCCCACCCTGGGGATGTTCAGGTGAGAGGATGACATAACTACCAACTTTGGCGTTGTCTCCCTTGTGAGTCACAAAAAAAGTAGCCTTGAGGAACTGTCCTTTGCTTGAGGGGATGCAAAGTGGCCCCTTGTCCTGAATTTGTGCCAAAATTGCTGAGCTCCAAAGTACCAGTTGGGGTGGTGGAGACTGTCGTACTCGGGCAAATCCCACCACTTGCTTTGTGTCAGAAGGGAGTCCTAGCAGACGGCAATACTCTGGACGACCTGCCAAGGAATCCTGTACAGCGGAACCAGCACATACCCACATATTTGTAGTATGATCAAACCAATACCCACCTGTCGCTATGTGCTTGAGAGTATCCTGTGAGGCAAAAGACTGGCAAGTGTCGCGGCTTGGTGATTTATGATTTCTGTAGATTGAAGCCAACCGGAAGACATGGTTGAAAAATTCATAGCGTTCTGTTGAAAATAAAATTGGTGGGCCAAATCTGTGAATGTAGGCTGGTAAGTGAAGTAGAAAATGAAATTTTGGCTTTGTGATCAGAATGCTTGGGGCACATTTGGCGGTAATATTGAGGAAATCCTCGATAGTGCGTGATAATTGAGCCTGAAAAAACAATGATTAGTGTTCCATTAAGACTTGGTCATGCTTATTCTTACCAAGTATTCGTTGGTGTTATCTATTCTCGTATGCCAGAGAAGTACAATCAAATCACCAAGGACAGTCCAGCCATCTAGTACATCAGAGGAAACCAAATTGTATATAAGATATGGCATGACCTGGGCAAGACTCTTGAAATGTTTGCCAATAAGGGAGCCCTTGAAACGACATATGTATTCGGCACCAAGAGTTGGGTAGTTCAAGCCATCTTTGTTGATGCTTTCAAGGCACCTCTGAAAAGTTGTTAGTAAATGAGCTTCATCAAGCAGCCAGACAGTTTGGCCCCAAAAGTATTTTGCTACACCGAGTAAAACGGTATGTAAGATTTTGGTAGGTGTATCCTGGTGAATGTCCATTCCTGGCATGCCTAATAATGGATTTAATGTTACTCAAGTGAGTGCTTCTATAGTAGCTCTTCTAGCTCTCCTTCTAGACGCTTGCATACATCTGCCTCAGGTAAAGCCGCTTTACCTGGAACATGCTTGCGAAGTTGTTTACCCAGCTCCAAGAGGTGCTGCACTACTGACACGCTGGCTGCATCTCGTATGCCTGTGGATGTGGCAGCTTTTTTGACCTTGTCAGTACCACCTGACTCTAGAGAAAGGGAATCTTGACGCAAACCTTCCTCGATTGTTTCCTGCGGCAAGCGAGGAGAGCCACTCTGATGCCAAAAAAGGTCTTGTTATTATTCTGCAGAAATAAATAGGTGTAGGTTACGCACCTGGAAAAGCTTCTGATAACCTTTGTCACTCTTTTTTTCTACTTGGGTCTCACCAACTTTGCATCTTCTACAGAAGTGGTTAGTTTTGAGCCCAGCATGACTGCACTCTTTGGCATGCATAGGGTTATCCCCAGCAACAAAAAGCTCATAAGGAATTAACATTATTTCCTCCTCATACTGACAGTCCCATGTGATTATCCCTGTCTTTTCAGCTTTACTCATTGGCACTCGGTCAGAAAAAGTGTGCTATAGGCCAAATTCAAAAAAAATGCACCAGATTGAATCAGTAACTCCTTTCATCAACTCCATGGGGGCAGCATGTGGTGAGGACACCACAAAATGTATGCAGAACTCTTTCTCAATCATGTTCCGAGGAATTGAAGTGTTCAACATGTAGACCACATGATGCTTGTTCCACTGTTTGGAAATATTCTCTGAAACATCATCCATGAAAACTATCAGCGGGACTGTTAGTATTAAGCGGCCACCAGATTTTGCTCGGAGAGGGTGGGGCATTTTAGATGCAAAGTGGGTGGAAGAATCTTTATTAGTTGTTAGTGCATCCTGTTCAACTTGAAATGATTTATACATACCTGTAAATTTACAGTATCCTTGCGAGTTGTTACTGATGTCTTTGAATGATCTTTTGGGGGTCATGCTTGAGGCTATGAGACATTCGGGGTTGACAATGAATCCTACCTGAGAAGAAATGAATAACAATAAAGAAAAGCAATTCAAACTCACATCAGAGCGGACAACATTGTGTCCAATGGCTAAGACCTTGACACCACGTTGATCTTTGTGTAGAAAGAACTTGATGGGAATAAAGCAGTTTCCACTATCCTGTTGTAAAAGCTCGTTGACGGAAAAGATTTTGCCATTTGTGTGCAACGAGGGAACTGCCAGACTGGGCGGTAGGTCATGTAACACTTTGGATCCATGATGGACTTGAGATATAGATCCTCCGTTGTCTTCAGGGTAATCTTGCATCGTGAATCGAGTGATGGGGTTAGAATAGTCCTGTAAAATCATGAGTTGTTGTTTAGCCTTTAAAGATAATCATGAGGAAAAAGCTATTTCACCTTTGCAATAGCTTTGCCAATGCTGTTACAATAGAAAATATTGCCGGAGTTGCTGACAAATTTTTCCGTTGGGTTTCCAACCATGCTACAGATTTTTTTCTGAGACTGAGCCAACACATGCAGAGTTGGCACATTTTGAGCGTTCAGTCCCTTGGCCCATGCTAAAACAGCCGTCTTCTGTGCCTTTGAAAACCGTAGACGAGCGTGTGAGGCAATGATAAACTATAACAAAAACAAAACCTGTCTCCTTCTGCACTTGCAGGGAGTAAAAGGTTCGATAAGCTTGAGGTCGACAGACGCTAGCAAATATAGCGAGTAGAGGACTTTTGGAGAGGTAAGCTTCAACGGTTCTTGTTGAGGAGTAAAGCGGGTAAATTCAGTAATAGAAAACTAGGGAGCCATACATGAATAAGTAAGGCTTTATATAGGGAACTGTTCGTTCCTCAGACCGAAAGGAGAATATACAAAAAGTGGTCTGAGGAATTAATCAACCAATAAGAAAAAGGGAGAATAACTATTGTACGACTTTTGACTTGAATTAATCAGCAGGTGAGAGACTTGTACTAATAATAGAGGATTGTCACCCGTGTTCAGGAACCGTATCCTCATGATGAGGTACGATCCTAAATAATGCGTTATTAGTATTACCAGGCTTTACTGGGGCTTGGAGCTGGTTGGCGAGATGCCTACTACCAGTCCCTAGCCAGTGTGCTGGCTGGCTGGGGATGATACCCAGTCTCTGATCTGTGATATAAAATGGTAGCGATGGTTAAGAAAGCCTGTGAGAGCTATGAGAAGTAGAACGGCAAAAGATACCTCTAGCCCTAGAGCCAGAGGTGTAACAGGAAAAGCGTTCGAAAACCAAGACATAACGAAGATAGGAAAATAATGAAATGGTCCTTACAGAGCGGAGCTGAAAAGGAGATCTGTAGAAAACATCTAACAGATTTCTTAGTGAGGGTGAATGTGAGATGACAAAACAAAGGAGCTTACCGCCAAAGATAGCAATGGGTATGTTTGTTCACCCGGCTGCACATCTTTGTGTGAGGTACTGGACAAGCCCTGTACAAAGTCTAAATGAGTCAAAGTTAGTATGTACCTTGAAAACGGCTATGAAAAAACTTACCTTGATTTTCATTGAACCAGTCTTCCTGTAGATAGTCAGGCCCATCACCTTCTAGTCCAAATTCTTCGGTGGCGGGACATAAATGACATGGAAATAAATGGTCCCCCTTTGGCTTTGATTTGCAAAGCTCGTCGTAGATGTCCCCTCCCGGATTGAGGGCAAGGTTGTAGGTGTGCTGTGCAAAAGTAGTGTCCTAGAGATCTTGGATGGGGACTTGGAGATGATTATCCTGAGTATTGAAGGTGTCCGCAATTTTGTCGTCTTCATGCCATAACGGAGCAGGCGAACAAGCACTGAATGAGGGAGAGGGTTGATTTGGAGTGGATGGATGTAAGCCAGAGGTCAATTGGGATGGTGGTTGAGTGGGTGATGATCCAAGATGAAGTTCTAGCTGTTGAAGAAGCTTCAGAGCATGGCGTACATGCTTTTTGCTGTGCGTATAGCTGATTATGTGACACTTCCTCATGGTGAGATAAGCCCCATTTTGCTTGGGGCACGCAAGGCAAGCAATAAGCCTGCCCCCTTCTAGGGTCCTATAGACTACAGCACAGGTCAGTGACTTGTGAAGTCCTTGTGGCAATCAGCATGGATCAACACACTACGACTATCTAGGGCTTGAAGGTTATCCTTGGGCATTATCAGGGAAGCGCAATGCACCAGTGGCTATAATACAAGTGTGAGGATCATTTCACCAAACAGCAGGGTTGGCAAACACAAACATTTTCGACTTTGAAAGAGTATGTGGTGGTATTGACTCTGTTTGTCTTGGATAACCAGGCAATGAGCTGGCCAATACAATTCTGCCTGTGATGTCTTCAATGCCAGGAGGTGGCGAAGCAGAAGGTGCAGGTGATGTGATAGCCAAATTGCTGATCGGGTATCACCGGAGGGGAATAGGTTTGTTTGTTGATCCACCTTCATTCTCATCCCTCATGGCAACAACCACTTCAATGATTCTGTATCCCCGAGTTTCTGCAAGGGACTGAGGCACTAGGCACAGCCTACGTTCTTTAAATGTGCTTGTACAGTTTAAAGGTTCAGTCCCAAGCCCGAGATTGGTGTTTGGTGATGTGGTATATTTTCATTTGTGTTCTCTTGTGATATCAACTAACTTTTTGGTGTACACAACAAGCCTCTCAAAGTTTCTGTTAGTTTACCCCATGGCTATACTGGAATAAAGCCAACCATACAGACTGGACCTCTCAAATCTGTCTATGGTCAGAAAAAAGTGACATCTGTTCTCTGTCCACAACAGGAGCTGAGGTCTACATGCGTATACCTTGCTAATTACTGACTATTTACAGCTACTGCAGGGCTTTCATATAGCTGTATAGTTCTTGCCACTCCCATCCATGTTTGATACTTTTGACTCACAGTGCTGGCTGGCCTTGATGGCTAAAATTCAACAATGGCTTTTGGCCGAAATTGTCATGCCGGGAGGCATTTTGGATGGCTTATGTAGCTGCTTTCCCTGAATTTCCCTACGGTCAATGGACACACTGGAGTCCTAAAATCTCCCCCAACGGAATTTTTGTGGGTCGTTGGATGGCCGAGAACAATACTTTTTCTCATAAGTTTGATGGTGTTTTTGGCAATGACAGTGATCATTTGCAAACTCGAGGCCAGATTTGGAACAGGTTTCAAGAACTGATGGACTTAGTATACAATGACCGTGTAGTTTCCGACATCCTGTGATCAGCCATTTTACTATTCTTTGTCTTGTACGCATCTCGGATTTGTTGACTGTGTTGGTTGCTTTGTATGTATGGTGTGTCTTGCTCTCAGTCTTCAAGGTTAAAACTTGCACATAATGACGATGTAATATTGTGAATAAATAAGACCTCAGAGCCGTTACTGGTCTGATTGAGGTCTATCAAAGGTCTGAGCAATATTTCTGATCGCCATCTGAGCCAATCATCTGTGGCACACTATTCTGTGGCCATGGTAAGTCATTTACTATATACAATAGTATGATATAGGTTGATGGTCTTGTAAGGCTCCGGACAGACCTCTGCAAGACCTTTCACAACAATATCCCGACAGCCAAGCCGACACTATTGAGGCGAGGTCTGGTGATTTTGTTGCCTAGGCCTTTTAGTGCGGGTTCCGTATGGCCAATATTTGGTACTGTGGCAATGTTTTTTGTCAAACATTAGTAATAACCTCATGCTCATTTAGCCATGTAGTAACGGGGATTATTCGCAGCTCCCTTACTAATAGGATGGCCCTCCGGGCAAACCTGGTCCCCATGTTGATTATATTTCCCACGGAATTATACATACTATACTTTAGATATGTAGCTAGCTATGTAGTATGTCAAACGTTTCTGTGCAGTTGATGCCAACTCTGGTTTTGTATGATTAAGTGGTGAATTAAAGGTACAGGAGTGGGATACATACTAGAGTGGTTTGTCGTTGAGAGAGAAGTTATGAGATGGCCGTAGAGTGTTTGCAGGATTGACACAATGGTAACAAGAAAAATAACTGAGTGCTAAAGGGCAACATCAGTCAAGAAGGGTTGATATGTATGATGTAGTCACAGTCACTTTGCAGCATGTCTTGGATTTCTTGACGCTGAATCTGATTATTTGCGTGAACCATTGAGGTACAAGAGGTAGATAACTAAATGCAAAGATTGAGGATTATGTGAGAGCAGGAGAGCTATTTAACAACATTTGAACGGGCAGGAGAAAAAGGGTTCAGACAGCGTTGTCAAGACACAAAAAGATCACAAAAATCACTGTTTTCCATCTGCACCAAAGGGTTGTGAGGGTGACGGGAAGAAAAGAAAAGAAAGGAGGAAATTTGAAGTGTTGACAACATTATAGTGAAATCGATTGTAGGGTGCAGCAACACACAGCACAGAAATTATGATTGAACCAGGTATATATGGTACATAATCAAATTGGACTCCCACGAAGGCCAAGGATCGCAAGGGGTCGGTTGGTCCGTTGGAAATCTGTGAATTTGAGCTTGGATGACAACTGCATCGCCAATTTGTAAGTCACAGAAAGATGCTGCTACCGGGATGTTGCCGTGGCGTACAGTATGACGTGCGTCAAGAACCCTCATCTTAACTTGAAATTAGTTTAGCGCATCAGAATATTGAGGACCACTTTACCTCTTTGGGTCCTAAGCAATCTAACGTTTCAGAGGTTGAACAAGGTAGTGGTGCAGATGACAGTGTTGATAAAATGTGATGTGCCATCCAGGTTGTGTTGATCCCGAATGGGTACAACGTTGAATAGAACCAGCCCTTGTGTTTATGCAACGATTGTAACTCTCCGATGAGCACCACATTGTAAGGTTGTCCACAGATTGGGTTACAAAGTGTTGCGTCTTGGTTGTAACAATCCAAGGTGGCTGTAAGCGGGAGATGTTTGAGCGCATACATATTTGAAGGAGTGTTGATGAGACTTGCAAGGGATATAAGTTGTCTGTCATGAAAATCAAATATATGTGGTTGTGTTGATGAGGGGTTATACCTTGCAATGAAAGAATTGTACTTGTCAGAGCAAAAACTGCGAGTCACAATTTCATCAGTGCAGATCGATAAACTACAGCATATGTAGTGTCAATACTGAACAGCGTGTTTTTTCAGTTGTGTACTCACTTCGCAAAGTCCATGTTACAAATTTTGAGAATGATTTCCTCACAGCGCATGACGAGATTTTTGAGCAGAACTTAACATTTGAAATGTAAATAGGAGCATTTTTGGGAAAAGGTTGCACTTTTAGCCATCATATTTTTTAAAATTCAAAGCCCCTTATTAGTCCAATTCAAATTGTGCATGGATTTTCAGGGTGACCCTTGTTTTATGCAAGGCCCTTTATTGGTGCATTTCACCATTCACGATCGCACTGTGATGTCATGGGCACATAGTCAATCACAAAGAACAGGAGCTACTCACTTTGCCAAGAGCACGCGGAAGAGCGCAATATCTTCTGCATTTGCATATGTGATGTGGTCTGGTTGCCATTGGGAATGTTTGACTAACAGTACACCTCCATACCATGTATGTTGTTGACAGATAGGTGTCTGTATGATTTTATTCACAAGCTTGTTTTCTATTGGATTGGCCAGCATAATGGAAGGTATGTCCGGGAAGTGCTGGTAAGTCCATGTGACAATTTCAAAGCAGGTGCAGTCTTGGGCTGCAATAGGTGTCGTTGCTACTTCACTTTCTTCTTCATTGTCTGATCTTCCTCTGAATTCGTCATCTTCCATGTCAACGTAGTTTGCGTTTGGCACCAGGTATGGCTCGTATATCACTGCGGATGGGGAAACATTGGAGTGAAATAGTTCAGTGGTGCTGACGTCCACAAAAGTGGGACGTAAGCAGTTTGTTCCAAAGTATAAAGCTTGGAAAACGGTAGGGGGAGCCTTCCAGTAGTGATTAATGATTAGTGGTGCACGTGACTGGCGAAGAATGTTGACTCACAGGCAAAGTGCGATGCATGCGTTTCGAAATCTGTAGTACTTCTTCAATGGAAGCCATCGACGAACATGGGGAAAGAGAAGTAGGTCACTTTATATGGCATGTATTGTTGGCAATGTCATTTGAAGTTAGGGGTCACTTGTCTACTGATGTCATTCACCAAAAGTTTCTGGCTCAGCACTGTTCAACAGTGCAATTTTGTATAAGCATGAGTAGTACTATGTAGTATTACATTCAGATATGGATATGTTGCTCGTCTTTTTTAGCCTCCACCTTGTCATCCTGTAAGGTGGTATGAATGAGTGATACGCACTTCAGCTTAAAGTACGCTTTCCACTCCCTCCAAGGACGTTTGTTGACGGGGTCAACTTGTCTATGTTGCCTTTTAGGCGATAATGTTTAATGTACGCTTCCATAAGTACGGCGTCACCCATTTGCAAGTTTGTGGCACCGTAGTAATCCATTTCGGATTTTGGTTTGAATACCTTCCTGGCATCATACACATCTGTGAAAGGTTTTGGCTGGAACAAAGGTTAGGAATAGGATATTGTAAATGCAGTTGACACATACGGTTTTCCCTTGAGCTTTGTAGGCCGATTGCCAATGCAATGCTCTAATGTCGCCCCAGCACTCTTCATTGGGATCTGTAGATTATGTGTCTTGTTAGGTGATGCAGTTTCACATACAACAACAAGATTTACCGCCGTTTGGAAAGGACAAGTTATCAATTATGTTATGTGTGGCACTTGCTGTGTTGACACCAAATAAAACCACGGATATACTAACATGGGCACGTGTTTCGCCTTTGGGATCAAACAACCACACTCGAGACACAAAACCTGGCAGCCACACTGTGCAGGGCATGTTGCTTGAGGGATCGCAAAGAAGTGTGGATTTGTCGTGAATAGGCTTGGAAATGCCCCATGTGGCTGTGGGCGGAATATTTTCAACCGCATAGATTAAGTTTTTTGCATCGGAATAGTTTGCAAAAGTGTATAAACGCCTGCAGTGCAGTTAGTCATGAGCCCCATAACAGTTTGTGGTTAATGTACGTGACTGTCAGAGTGTCATATGTAGCAAGTTGAGCCTTGTCCATAGCCACCAGCTCTTTGTCAGTGTGGTCATTTGTCTTGGCAACAGTTTTTGTGATTGTTCCGTCTCCCAAAGTGGCAGAGCTGTGTAGTGCAGGGGCTTGTTCTGGCACGTTTTCGGACACAACAGGGATTGACTCGCAAACTGTTGTATTTTCATTCTCATCTCTACAACAATGATTAGTAGGACACAGAGAAGTTAGTGAAATTGTGTACAGTGGGGTGTGGGAGGAGTACCGTAGTTGGCCCTCGCCGATGTCAGAGTTAAAGTTACTGTAAGGTCTTACATGTGAAGCACTGTATTGGAGGTGTGGTTTGAATGTATATACCTTGAGGCATCCGTAATCCCCAGCTGAAAAGAGTTGCCAGAGTCACCGTTGAATCTGTGTGTGTACAAATGTCAGTTGGAAATAAGGGATGCAAAAGGAGTCTTACCTTTGCTTCTTAGCAAGCTCAATCTGTGGTAACAGAGGTATGTCTGCATGGACAGCCTTTTTTTTTGAAACCATGAGCGACAAAGTACAAAATGTGATTGACAATAAATGGAAAAAATGTAGTGTGAACAATGTCGATGATGAGAACTGTTGTTAGAAAACCACACACAAAAACAAACTAACAAACAATCCTCCCAGATTCCACGGAACTTGTTTATGGGCTTTGCCTCCTAGAACAGTGGGTGCTCTGGTTGTTCGTGGGGTGGTATGTATGAAGGTCCTTCAAAGTAAAACCCAGAGAGGTATGGGTGTGGGTTTTGAGGAGGAGGGATAGTTGAATTTATAGAAGATGGGGGCTTAATGACGAGTATAGATGAGCACTACCTTGCTAATCGTAGCACAAAGTAGGTTTGAGAACAATAAAGATGACGAGGTGACGAGGTTCCCAGTGATAGCAGGCTCCTGACGCACAAACTGTAGTGCTCAGAAGGACTCTAATTGAAAGGGATGACAGTGACTTTCAAAAATGACGAGTGACGATGACAGCAGATAGCAGTGGTAACAGTGGGAAGTATTGTGACCACACTGGATCACAAGTAGCAGAGTAGTGAACTTGAGATTTAGAGAAGAAGTCTGGAATCGAGTTTTTTGTTGTTTTTACAAGGTAAAATACAGGGGTTTATATAGTGAAAAGAAAGGCAGGCTATGCACAGTATAGCTGCGCAAAAAGAATGAGAAAGAACATGAAGGAAGGAATGTACGCTGATGAATCCTGCGTAGTTGCTACAGGATAAGATCATCAAAATAAGGGAAAGAAAGGGATAGAACAATGAATGCTGTGAGTAATGTTACAGGTTTGTACAGCCATAAAGTAAAGTCCAATAGCAAAAAGAGAGCAGGAAAATCATGATGTCATGGGAAGATGCAGTAAAAAAAAGGGGCAAGGAAAAACACTATCAGTATCAACACAGTTCCTTTATTGTCAGTCAGGCATTCTAAAAAAATATGTGTCCATAAAAATGATTCAAAAATCAAAAATAATCGCACTGTAAATGAATGTTCTGCTGAAAAAAAAGAAACTGGAGCCACCGGTCCACCACCTAGTCCAAATCCGACAGTTCCATGGCCTTACCAATGGACTGGTTGTGTTGGACCACCTGATTAAACAAGGGAGGGAGAGGAGTAGTTCCAATTTGGAACAAGTGAGTCCCAGGCAGCGTGTGGTAGGTGTAGCTGTAGCGAAGACGATGGACAAAAGATAAGTGTACCCAAGTGAATGGGACAGCGATGAACATGGGCAACGCAAGGGGACAAACCTTCTCCAGCTCAAAAACTACCCACCCACACTCCAACCAGGCAAGACGAGCGACCGATGTTTTGATAGTATATGATGGCAGATCGACGTCATGAAGATGGACCTGTTGCCCTATTTGGACCGGCCGCCGGGGCTTTGCTGATATCAGCAGTGGCACATGGTAGTCAAGGGATCGGCGGCGGAAGCGGATAGGAAGTGGTGACATCAGAAATGGTGGGGGTGCAAATAAGATGAGGAGGAGGAGGGTGGAGGTGACAGAAAAGTGGACTAGAATGGGGATCCAGAAACGACCGTCAGGTGAGAATAAAAAGGAGAGGAAGGGGCCCATGGTGGGGCTAGGCAAAGGAAGGGGAGTAAGGGAAATGACACAAGCGAGGGCGCAATGCAATGTATAGCCAGTGGCGACGCGAAAAGAAAATTTGCCAAAATGCCAAAATGCCAAAAGTACCGAATGGAAAAGCAAAGGTGAGCATGACTGGATTGCCTAATAGAGGTGGTGCTGATCAGCCACAAGTTCAAAACAGGCAATATTAATTACTATTCCACGTGGCACTGTGCCTGTGTGGCGCAAAGGCGAGTCTTTTCGAATATTCGCTTCGTTATTAACACCTGTCCATGCTACCAATCAATTTTGGTGCATGACAGCGCTCGGTCTCCCTCGAAGGCGCCAGGGTCAGCGACGACTTCGACCTTTTTATTGTATTTCTTTTCCACCGAGGGGGTTGCTGTAGGGAGATTGGCCTGCATCTTGGCGAGTTGTGAGGTTAACGCCCCAATCTGCGTGCGCATCACGTGCAGCAGGGCGTTTATGTCTTGTGGGGGAAGAGGTTGCGACAACATGTCGACTTGTTTCTGATGTACGTAAAAGTAGGTAACTGGGGGTCCCCACTTGCTATCTGCGGATCAACCTCTTCCCAGCTGAGTATCGGATCTCAATCTCCGACTACCCACACTATAGTATTTGAAATTTTGTATTTAAAAAGTCTTCGTAAGAAACCCTGGTCCGAACGGTTGTCAGGGGGTGGCCCGCTTGTTAAGCTGTCAGCCCTTCTCCAGACTGGCGGAGGCAAGTGCCCGGCCTGGTCAGAGGTATTTGAAAAAGAAGTTGTGTAGTCTAGATCTAATCAACAGCGGTTCCACACCGATTGCTGAGCTAAGTACTCCCCTTAACGCTGGGGGCCGCATAACGAAGGTTCGGGTTCTTCTCCCTGAGCACTACAAGGCCGTCGCTAGGAGCGCACCTATCTGCTATTTGGGATATTCCTAACCCTAGCCAATCTCCTTCACCCTGGAGTCCGGGTGCCCAGTGGGACTTTTTGCACTAACGCGTGAGAGAGTAATGAGAGCGAGTCCTAATGTAACAACCAAGAGTGATCTACTCCAGCGCACACAGAACACACTATAGAAGATAATGGAAGATGGGGAGTGGGTACCCCTTGGGCTGCAGTGAGTTAGTTGGTATTCAACAGGAGGACTCCCTGAGGAGTCTCCTGGATCTATTGAGGTATATATACTACTACAGGTTGTTTGTACATGTGTACTATACAGTTGATGAAGGCAGTGGCTTGATGATGTCATAGGGCCTAGGCCGTATGGCCAGCTCCACTGCGTGAGAGAGTGAAGTCTAAAAATAAAAGGAAGGCAACGCGGTGCGAGAAAGGGAAATGTCGCGTGGCAATTAAGGTATAAAGTTAGAGTGGAGAATAAAAGGAAAGGAGATGTCCGGAAATTGTGTTTATCGTAACACCAACAACCTGCAAGCTGTCAGAGATTATTATGCCCATGTTCTGATATCATGCACCTTTGCAAACTCCGCAGCTTTTGCTAGTTGCAAAACATGTTCAATGTTGAGATGTGCACATATTTTGTGAAGGCCAGATGCGTTGCGAGTTGTGCTGATATTGAATGTGAAGCCCACGTTGACAAAATCCCCAGGGGATAAGACGGCTGATGAACAGGACTGTTACAATTTGACATACCAGCACCTACTTACGCTTCACTTCTGTACTTCTACTTTTATTTTCCAAGTCACATGACCAGTCATGTGACCATTTACTTTACTTTTTATTTTTGGACCTTTCCTTTAAATTTCATTCTCCGCTTTAACCTTGTACTGTAGTTTTCACACTGTGCCATGTGGCACTTCCCCTTTTAGTTCAAACTCCACCTTTCTCGCGTGGCGCTGCCTTTATTCTTATTTTAGATACAAGTATCTCACACAGTGGAGCTGGTCACACAGGCTAGGCCCCATGATATCAGCAGCCACTGCCTCTAGCAACTGTACAGTACATATGTACAAACAAACATGTATTCAGTATATATACAAGAGCAATACATGGGTAAGGACTCAGCGAGTCCTCCTGTTGTCTAGCACAACTAACTCACTAAAACCTGAGGGGTGATTCCTCCTTCTCTCTTCTCTATAGTGTGTTCCTGTGTGCGCCAGAGTAACTAACTCTTGGTTGTTACAGGACACAATAGCACCGCTCTCATCACACCGTGCAATCTGGACTTTATCTGTAACCCTCCAAGCACAATCAACCGCTTTCATCCAGCAAAAGGGATTGTCGGAGGGTAAGAGGACACTTTTTTTTATTTTGATTATCTTTCCTGATCTTTGCATATTCAGTTGAGTTGACATATGTAACTATGTAGCACATACCTTGGTAAAAACCCGGTGTTGCATGAATATGTCGTGGTTTGTCAACATGCTGGTAATCACCCAATGCAGCATAGATGATTTGATGCAAGTTCTTTGATGGCATGCAAAGCAGGAACCCATGGCTCCCAATGATTGCGTCCTTTCAGGTTTACATATTGAATGGCAGAAGGGATTGTTTTCCAGTCGCTAGGGGGAGACAATGAATTAATATTTGTTGTTAAGTTGAAAGACTTTACCCTGTCTAAGACCCGGAAACCTTTAAGTTGAATTTACCCAACAGACCTTGAACACGGATTGTGACTGGATATAGGGATTTGATCCTATCACTGCAAGGAGTCTTGTACAGTAGAAGGTGGTTTCGGGTTTTGTTGACTTCTGAGGGGTTTTGGGCGACATGTGCCCACTGGCAAAAACCTTCAAATGTGGATGGGACAACCTCCCATGCTTTACGCTCTTCATTCCCTTCAAGCAGAGGCTTTGTAAACTGCAGTAGCCATTTGTTATGCACTAAAATCCCTGTAGTATCTGTAGATGCATAGTCAGTGACGTGCAGCAAGATGCAATTAATAAACCCGAACCTTGGATGAAAGACATGGGAACGGGCAGATGAGAACAGACAGTCGGCGAGCTCAGCCATTTAAAAAAGCCCAAAAGAACCCTTTATTTGGGATGAAAAGAGGGCTGATCAATGTTCACAATCATTTTGAAATAGAGAAAATGCAATTTTTGGGGTGACAATGTTTCCAGTGCACGTAGAATGAAGGTAAGTATGATTTAGAGAGGGCACTTGGCATAAAAAGAGACGCTTACTGTGTCAAGTCCTTGCAATGTCTTTGAATAGTGTACCCGGCTTTCTTGTTGCAGACATGTTGGTTGAACTCGTAGAACGAGTATTTAATGAGATGAGTGTTGTTGATCTGTCAATGTACGGATCAACTGCATGCACCAATTATAGTTGTGTGCAGCGTTACCTGTACCGACGGCTCATCTGCACTTTGCACCCTTATTTTTGAAATTCTGTCGACGTCCTTTGCCTGCTGCATACGACGTATAGCGTCATATCTGGTTTTACTGCACTATCTTACTTTTCTCCATCAATGGTGCAACGTGCTGCTGATGTGGACTGGTATGTTGGTTCACAGCACGTTCGGAAGGTTGTGCAATACCTTTACTACATCGAAGGCTATGTTATTATTTACAACCATACAGGGGACGAGTCAAGGTACAAACCTCTGGCTGGAATGACAGGAGTGGTTACTATGTGCAACGCAAGTTGCACCATTGACATCATTGTGTCTGGCACCAATCATAGCATTGCGCCTATATTTCACTTCCATTTGACGGCCGTTATGACTTCATTTCGGGAGATGTTTCTTTTCTGTGTATCCAAATCTCACCAACAACGGGCACTCCTTGATTAATCTGGGATCTTACAGTTCTCGTGGCCATCTCATGCCTCCCGTTGACCTCTTTCTGTGCTATAATAAATACCTCAAACGAGGGTTCAAGATCCGCTTTAGTCCAGGTAGTTGGGAGTCAACTAAACACATCTGTTGTATTGCACACAATTGTCTACATACCGTGAGGTCCATGTTTGACAAAGGATGCTTTTGTAACAACCAAGAGTTATTTACTCTGGCGCACACAGGAACACACTATAAAGGTAGTGAAGAGGGAGTGGTTACCCCCTAGGCTGCAGAGAGTTTGTTGGTATACAACAGGAGGACTCGCTGAGGAGTCTCCTGGATCTATTGGGGTTTATATACTGTTACAGGTTTGTTTGTACATATGTACTATACAGTTGCTAAAGGCAGTGGCTGACAATGTCATAGGGCACAGCCCATGTAATCAGCTCCACTGCGTGAGATACTAGTATCTAAAAATAAAAGAAAGGCCATGCAGCACGAGAGGGAGGAGTTTGAATAAAAGGGAAAGTGCCGCATGGCACGGAGTGTGAAAGCTATAGTAAAAGTTTGAAGCGGAGAATGAAAAAAGAAAGGAAAGGTCCAAAAATGTGTTATCATAACAGCTTTTATGTGCCGTTCAGAGATGACGAGGGAAAAGTGATATGTTGAGGAGGGAAAGCAGCACCGAGGTGTTATCAGAAAATGTTGGCAGTCGTGTGGCACTTGGGAGGCTATAGTTGTGATGGCAGTTACGAGACATTGCATCCGTTTGTTAGTGTGAGGGGGGCAAGAACGCCGTACCATTAAGGAGGAAGAGGGTGGCAATATAGAATGGTGGTGTTGGTTAACACCAGGGCAGATTGTTGGAGGAAAGATTGAGGTTGATGTACTGTGCCGTTGTTGCTGTATCAAGTTGTTTCAATCAAGAAAGTTCAGAGCGGAATTGTTCACCTAAGTGGTAGTAGACTTTTGTTGAAGGAAAGCAACAGAGAATTGCTATGCCGTTTAGTGTTCTAGCACGGGACAACATGACATATGCACTTTGGAGGCTGTGGCAACCTGCGAGGTCTATGATAATATTATTTAGTGAATGTCCTTGGATCTTGTAATTGGTGAAAGCAAATGCGGGTAGGAGAGGGAGTTGTCTCCTGTTGATCTTCCAGTTACGACCATCTTCATCTTTGTAGGCAAAAGAGGTAGGAACGGGCAAAATGGGCACAACACCGAGAGGTAAGCCAGGCACTTGTAACAGACAACCAGGAATTCTGACATAAGCGCATTCCATGTATCGATTACCCTTCTCATCTACAGTAAACTCGATGCTCTCCAGAATGCCTTGCAAGCCGTTCACAATGTTTTCTTTTATGGCGGCATTTTCCATAATCATAACGGGGCATGGAAGGAATTAGAGGCAAGAAACCC